GGATGGGTGGATGGATGGGTAGATGGATGGGTGGATGGGTGGATGGGTGGATGGGTGGACGGATGGGTGGGTGGATGGATGGAGCACAAAGCAAGAAGAGCAACATGTGAATCACAGAGCTGAGATCGTAGGTACATGGATGTTCACTCTTCAATTCTTCAGCCTTTCTGCATGTTTGTAAATTTTCATTTAAAATATTGAAAAAAAATAGAGAATGCAGATACTTGACAGAAATTCAAAAGTCACAAGTTAAAATTGAGTCCTCCTGCATCTCATCCTAACCTTTAATTTAGCCTCTCAATTTCCCTGACACCAGAAATCCCTGTCACCTGTGTTTCTGGCATGTCCTCCCAGGGATTATTTATGCCTGTATCTGCACATAGGTGCTTTCCTTTCAGTGGTGATGCTGATGGTGATGGTGGTGATGTAATAATAATAATAAGTAATGATTATACAGCTCCTTCTATGTGCCAAGTGCTGTCCTAAATGTTTAACATATATTGATTCATGAAATCTCTTCAACAGCCCTACGGCATAGGTGCTATTATTATCCCCATTTTATAGATGAGGAAGGTGAGGCCCAGGGGTTTAAATAACTTGCTCAACATCACTAACTCATCAGGGGAGTAGATGGTTTATATGCTCATCCACGACTCAAAGGTTCTCAGCCATGTGTCACTGTGGAGTTCCATCTGAGGACTTCAGATCTGCCTCTTTAAAGTCTGCGTCGCTTTCCATGGCATGGATATACCATCATTTATTCCACCCATCCCTATGAACCAGCATCTAGTTTGTCTCCAAACTTTTGCTACTGCAAAGAGTGCTGCAATAAATAAATAAACCCGTGCGTACTTTAACTGTGGGACAAATTCCCAAAGTGGAATTGCAGAGTCCAAGAGAAAATGCATTTTTAATTTTGATAGTAATTGTCATACGTCCTTCTGAAAGGGTTGTACTGAGTCCTGCTCCAGAGGCGACCCACGGCACAGTGCTGCTACCCTGTGAATGGCGCTCCCTAGGGTTGTGCTGTGTACAGCATGCGTGGTCACATGTAGCAGCCCCGAAATACCGGTAAACCAGCGTAACTATGGTTGGAATTCATATTTCTTTCAATATAGATGGAATAGAGCATTATTTTATGGACTTAAATTCACTGCTCCTGCCTTTCCTTTGAACAGACCTTCTCTTCCTTCCGAATTGTGGACTTAAGAGGTTGACACAAGGTTTATTCCTCCCTCCCAGTTTTCTCATTGGAGGCAGATTGGAAAATAACTTTTGCTGAAAAAAAGCATTTATTACTGCCCTGAGGGAAGGGAAAAAGAAAACCGTAGAAGGCGGGAGGGAGAGCCTGATGGAGAAGGAAGAAGCAAGTTGAGTGGTGGAAGCCGGCCGGGTCTCGGGCCAGATCACCCACTTGAATCTCATTACCGTCAAACCCTGTTGCAACATTTTCCAAAAGACAGAGAAAGGAAAAATGCTGGAAGTGGGAGAGGGAGATACATTGGGAGCGTGTGTCTGAGCACGTGCGTGTGTGTGTGTACACGCACTCCATGTGTAATCTAGACTCAGACTTACAAAATCCAAGGGAAGCAAAGAAGAAGGAAGAAAGGAAGAAAATAAAACGCAGACATTATGTCCAGAAGGTAGCCTACGGGGAGACATTGCAAGGGGGTCTTATAATAATTGTGAGCATCTTTGCAGACGGGTCCTTAGTATCTAGAACATGCAGGTCCAGTGCACATGTGTGTTCTCAGAGAAGAAATGTGGTTCTCCTGTGCCCTCTGAGTAATCTACTGGTATTTATGAGAAGAGCACGGCTTAGCTGTCTTTTTCTTATCTAACTCGTGTGGAACGTAGCTCAGAAGGGCAGAACCGTGTGGTTTCTTGCGAAATCGGTCCCTCGTCCTCCCTGGCTTGGAAGCCTTGCGGTTCCTGGGGACACTCGGGCAGCTCCTGAACCCACCTCATCAGGGAGGGATGGTCCCCAGTTCTGGGAGAGGAAAGGCCAGCCTCATTTTTTTGTTTTTTTAATTGTGATGAAATTGCAAACTTACATCCTGAGACGAAAATTAAATGGAGGGAAGTCTGCCATCGTGGGTGGTCTTCCTCGGGCGTTGGGAGGGAGGGGTCAGATGGTGTGGGGAGACCATGTTTAGCAACATTTCCAATAGGGTAATGACAGCAGGAATGATGGCTGTCCCACTCGGGAAGGGGAAATCTCAAAGGCCTACGCCGGACAAAAATAAACAAGCGTGCAACGCCGGCCGAGGGGGCCTGGGTCCGTTCTGAACTTGAAAAACATCAAAGGGAAGCCAGTTATCAGGCCATCCAGGCTCCAGGCTCCGCTGCGTCCTGCCCAGAGCTTTTATCAGCCTTGGCCGAGCACAGAGGACGCTGGCTAGCACGGCTGCAGGAGAACACGCTTGACTGCCGAGTCGGGAGAGAAGGACGAGTCCAGGCTGCGGCAGATGAAACCGAACAGGGATGCACGGAGCCTCCCGCACTTAGGCCCCCCCAGCGCTGGCCACGCAAGGCAGCTCCTCCTGAGCGGAAAGTCCACCGGAGCCGGGGAGAATCCACACCCGCCTGGGCACACGGTGGATGTCTCTGGGCCCCAGTCCCCCTGTGCATAGAGAGGGGGTGTCATGAGGACAAAATGCAGCCAACATTCAGCCAGCAAATACATTTTGAGTCTCTGCCATGTGCCGGGCACAGTTCCGGGCACTGGGGAATAGAGTGGTGATGAAATCAGATTTTTACAGACTCTTGAAGACGTCTAATTAATAAAAACTTCTGAAGAAATCGGATTCAAACCATCCTGGTTTGGAGATGTTCTGTACCATGACTGTGGTGATGAACACACAAATGTACATTTGTGATAAATGTGCACAGAAATGCACACACACACACACACACACACAACCACAGTAAACCAGAGAAATCTGAGTCAGATGGGTGGATCGTGTCAACACGAACACCCTGCTTATAACATTGTACTATAGTTTTGCAGAATGTTACCGCTGGGAGAAACTGGACAGAGTGTATTGGGTCTTTCGGGACTATGTTTCTATTTCACAGCGATCTCAATATGGATTTTAATTGAAACGAAACAAAGCCCTGACCTCCTGGAGCTCATGTTCTGGCGGGAACTTCCACGCTGGACTCTGAGGCATGAGAGGAGCCCCAGCCTCCTGTTAGGCATGAGTAATGCGTGGTCGATAACAGCCGTGATTAGGGACATAGGCTCTGTCAGGGGCCTGCCCAGCTGGAAGTCAATGGCCACTCAAACTGGGTTGTAAATTGAAGAGGTTTTAATAAAGGCAGCATTCGCAGGTGCGGACAAGCCCTGTGGAACTGGACAAGGGCAGGCGGCAGTGGGAGGCGCAGGGGGAGGGGACGGAGGGGCGCCAGGCAGCAAAGGCAGCGTGTCCACACGGAGAGGACCCCAGCGGGAGCTGCGGCCTTAGGGAGGAGGACGCAGTGAGCCAGGTGGCCGAGCAGGAGGGGGTAGAGAACACCTAGCTTCCCTCCCCTCTCTTCTCCCCTGAGCCCCTACTGGAGGCGGAGGGTGGCGGTAGGATGGTGGAGTCCACGCAGGTCAGCCGCCGGGCCAGGGAGCGGGCAGAGAAGGCGGGTGTGAGTCTGGCGGGGCGAGCAGAGGACAGAAGAAAAATCATCCACCAGGGCGAACTCAGGACAAAGCCGACTGGCATGAACGTCCGCTTTCTTGACCCCTCGCCCCATCACCTCCTGGGGCACCTCTGAACTCTGAAGGCGAGTGTGCTGCATGGAGGCAGCGCTTTGGGAAGCTCCCAGCCAGGGCTGGGGTCTCCAGGTGCGAGTTGGAGGAGGGCTGCCTGCGGCCGAGGCCCCATGACATCGGGGGCAGAGGAGAGAAGGACCCATGGCAATGCCACACAGCACTAGTGGGAGGGACCAAGGACCTTCTCCCCACTTCCCAGGCGTCATAAGTCCCAGGGCAGCCTGGGGAATGACCCGGCACACCCAGGTGGTGGACGTTGGGGGTAGCTTCAGTCAGTTCTGAGCAGAGCTTCTCCGAGTCAGGACACCCCAGGGACAGGCACCGTCCTGGGAGCTGCTGCCGCTCGCGGGCCACAGTGAGAATCTGGCTTGGAGAACCCGTGGACAAGTTTCCAGATAGAAAGTTGGATGGTGCATGAGTTTCCTAGGGTTGCCATAGATGATTATCACAAACCAGGTGGATCAAAACAACAGAAATTTATTCTCTCCCATCTGGAGGCTGGAAGTCTGAAACCAAGGTGTTAGCAGAGCCACCTGCCTCCGGGGGTTCAAAGGAAGGGTCCTTCCTGCCTCTTCCAGCTCCTGGTGGCTTCAGGCATCCCTTGGCATGTGGCCGCCTTCCTCCAGCTTCTGTCTCCATCTTCCCATGGCCTCTCCTCCTCTCTCTCTCTCTCCTGTCTCTTATAAGGACCTCTGTTGTTGGATTGAAAGCCGTCCCAGGCCCAATTCAGGATGAGCTCAGCTGGAGACCCTTAACCTAACAACATCTACAAAGAGAGAGAAAGCAAGATGGTGGAACAGAAGAACATGGAGTTCAGCTCCTGCCGCAGATACATCAAAAATACATCTACTAGTGGAACAGTTTCCACAGAGTACCTTACTGGATGCTGTCAAAAGACATCAGACACCCGGAAGTGCAAGAAAGATCTCCTCGTAACCAGGTAGGACAAAACAAAACAAAAGGAATCAGGTGAGACCTGCGCCCCTGGGGGGAAGCTGTGAAAGAGGAAATGTTCCTGCACCCTGGGAAGCCCCACCTCTGGGAGGGACATCAGCCGGGACAGAGGGGGAGCTTCTGAGGCTCAGAGGAGAGCGCAGCAGCAGGTGGGGGCAGCCAGAACAGAGAGAGACTGGTACAGGGGTTCCGAGGCACCTCGCTGCACCCCAGCCCAAGATGTGCGCCTGTTGGTGCATGCAGGGGCTGGGGGGCTGAAACCCAGGCTTCAGAGGACAGAGCCGGGGAGAGGACCGGGGTTGCCTGCCTGCAGGCAGCCTGAAAGGGGCCGGACTGTGATGCTGAAACCGCACAACTCAGTTGGTATTCGAACCACAGTCTTCCTCCCTCCCTCCCTCCCTCCCTCCCTTCCTTCCTCCCTCTTTTCTTTCTTTCATTTTTGGTTGTGTTGGGGGCTACTCTTCGTTGCGGTGCACGGGCGTCTCATTGCGGTGGCTTCTCTTGTTGTGGGCTTCAGTAGCTGTGGCACATGGGCTCAGTAGTTGTGTCGCGGGCTCTAGAGCGCAGGCCCAGTAGTTGTGGTGCATGGGCTTAGCTGCTCAGCGGCATGTGGGATCTTCCCAGACTGGGGATGGAACCCATGTTCCCTGCATTGGCAGGTGGATTCTTAACCACTGTGCCACCAGGGAAGCCCGAACCTACTCTCTTTTAATTGAGATCACCTGGTCTCAGGACTTAATGAAGCTCAGGTTCTTCATGTCTCGGTGCAGAAGGAGTTCAGCGAGAGGCAAAGTGATAGGTAAGAAGCAGATTTATTGAGAGAGATACACACTC